TAAGATCTTCAGAGCCACCGCGGCAGTGAATATGCAGCTTGAAGCAGTCGATCCTCATGTTGACCATGGAAGACAGCCGACACAACTCCCGCAGCTCGTGATTCACGAGGCTGTTGTTCGATCATCAGGTGTACTGTGTCCATGGTCGTGGTGGCATGCGGTGGCCGATGGCCAATGACTGCCAAAGTGATGGGATCATCAGGATGAAGTAGTTCCTGCCATGGCTCTGTGAGGTCTTGATACCATAGATGTCTGAACGCGTCCAACTTCACAATGCGAGGCGCACTACAAATTTTGTAGCGATCGTGGTGGATGAACCAAGTCCAGACATAAAGAATTCGGCCCTCCTCTTCAAACTCAACAATTGCTTCATCGTCGTAAAGCTGATTAAGTTGATCCTGCCAATGATCCAGATGCACCGCATGCCTGGGCCTTCGTGCCGGCAAAGAGGCAGAAGGCGGTGATGGAGCAGAGGATGAGGGAGCTGGTGCTGGCACTGTGTCGCGAACTCCCGGTTGATTGACCACGGGGTGCTCAGCCACATGTACCGCGTGCAGCGTGTTGAGCAATTGTACTGGTGGCGGTACCGTCACATGCAGGTATGTGCCATGTCTCATCACTTTGGGAGCAGGCTGACTGATGTCCCAAAGCACGTTGTTGTATTGGACGAGGCATGCATCATTCTGCCATTCACAATACTGTCGTACTCCAGCGTAGTGTAGCACTCCTGCTCTTGAAAGATGACGTGGTACTCTATGTACTCGTCGAGTCGCAGCCGGCAATGGCTGCAAACCAGACGCGGTTGTGTGGAAATGCAACTCAACGTCAATGATCACAAGTGCGTCGGATGAAGCTGCAGGTAAATCTGTGATCGACTGGATGATGAAGGAGAAATCATCTCGACAATCTCCAACCATCGGCGCCAGGATTGTGTGTGCCTGTAATAGTGATGCCGCAACTACATCCAATTTGCGTGCAAGCTCCGTCAACATAGGGACCCCAGCTGCGTTCTTCATGAACATGTGCAAAGGAGGATGTCGGAGCCTGTAGAAATGACAATTGAAGAGCGGTCCAGCACTTGGTTCAATGTCAACTGAGTGCGGTTCTGATGAAAGTTGATCATCATCCGCAGATCCTTGATCTTGACCTCCATTTCCAGCAGCAAAATGATCTTCTGCTCCTCCGGTTGGCAGACCGTGGGCCGCCACGCTGCTACTCGTGGCCACTGCAGCATTGTTCGAGGTGCTGTCCAGATTGGGATCATGAGGAACCTGAATCATGAAAGAATGGCCAGGACGCATGCGATGCTGTGCATCATCATCTACTGGTATAGCATTCCATCCATGGAAAATGTGGCAGACTCGTCCTCCAGGATGAGCGCAGATGTGTCTCACTCGCGCAGCGTCAATAATATGGTGTCCACTCACAAAAGGAGGAAATGAAGCCGCTATTGTAGTGGATCCAAGACCATCGAAATCATCAATGTAATGCACCGTGACCAGACCTGAAAACCTTTGTAGATGGAGCCCTTGGGAGAGAATCACATCCAACGCAATGAACTGTGTATCAGGTCCTCTCGATGGCATTGGTATTGGCAAAGTGAAAGCCGTTGGCATGTCCAAATGGATGGTATCAGTCCAAGCTGAGGTCAATTGCTGTATCCACTGTTGGCGGTCTGTGGACAGGGACACAATTCTGGGCTGCTCATTGCGCACAAGCAATTCATGATGAATGTACCATGTACGCACACGGATGCCATTGTCCAACACTGATGTAGTCGTCACCCACGGTGGAAGAGCTGCAACAATGTTGTTCGTGAAGTCCTGAGGATGGTCCAACTGTCCTGGAACTGGATGCCGCGCATGGTCATGATTCTCGTCTGCATCAGGTGGTAACTGTGGAAAATGAGTAAATCCATCCATAATACTGCATTCATCCTTACCAGGGGCAATCCCAGAGATACACACAGTTGCCTGTGGATCTACAACAGGTGTGCCCCGGTTGGATGGTACTGCATCATCATCATATGTCATTTTGGCATAAAGCCACATTTCGAATTGAAGGTCACCAGGGTGTCCTTGAAGTGTCACACCTTTGAGAGCCCTGCATGGAACAGTGAACTGCACAAAATGGGAATCTGCATCGCCAACCCGAACGTCCAAATCACCTGAAAATCTCACCCGCTTTTCTGGTTTGGAGGGCATGACATGCCGATTGTTGCAGTTCAATTGCTGGGACCCAAAGATGCCATTGTAGGTGTCAAGCTCAAATGCAAGCGACCTAGCCTTTTCAACAGCTCCCCACTCTGTCAGGAAGGTAGGTTCAAATGTAATTGAGTGCGACCATTTGGCTACAAGCAATTCCGGAGAGAGGCTGCAAACAGCTGGGACCGGCTCCCGGTTGTTGTACTCTGAGGTCACTAACAACCAGCCTGGCCAAAAGACGATTTTTGACCACCAGCTCCTGAGTCCATGTCCTCGTTTTGCATTTGTGCGTCCGGGACGCCCTGGGCTGTGCGAGGTCTCTTGGCTTGATGCTGCTTCTCCTCTGCATCGATTGCTGCGGCCTGCTGTTGTAGATCTTGAAGTGACTGGGAGAGTCCGGTCATGCTCTCTGTGATTCTGGCAGCGGCAGCGGAAGGTACATTTGGAACATCTCCAAATTCCTCGTCCGAGTGGATCTCCTGCACAGCGCCTGCAGCTTCGTGCGCCTTTGCTGATGCCTCTTTGGCCAGCAGAAAGGTCTCCTTGGCTGCTGCGACCTGATCTTGAAGCTTTCGCTCCTGTGCAGTGAACTGCGTGGCATAGTCTTGCCACAAACTCACAGCATCTGAAAGAAATTTCTTCCAGTTGGAGTGCAGCTGTGATCGCGCAAGGATAGATGCTTCGTATGCTTTCCTCGCCGACCCCAATTGCTTTGCTGCCGCCTGCAAGTCCTTGGTCGCCTTCACCCCGTCCTTCACTCCTTCCTTGAGGGCGGACTCTTTTACCGCCTTCTGTATATGGAGCGGCAACTCGGCAACATCTTGACGTAACATCGTCATCAGATCCGTGCCAATTGTCTCCGCTGCCTGTGGTTGTGGCATGGGCGGCATTTTGGGCATAGCAGGCATCACAAAATTGGGCCCCATCACCGATGGCATTTGCGCTGGTGGCACATTGGGCATCATAGCGCTGGGCGGCATCGGAGGTGGTGGCAATGGCTGTTGTGCATGCATCGGTTGATACGGCTGCATCATTTGCGGCTGCACATTCCATGCCATCATAGGAGCCATTGGTGCCATGGCAGCATTGTGCATGGGTGGTCCAGGCAACATGGGCATCTGTGGAGGAATCCCTTGGCCAGGTTGCTTCGAACTCTTGGCACTGCGGGCTCGATTCTTTTTCTGCCTGGGCGATTTGCCTTGCTGCTGGTCCCATTGCCATGTATTTTGTCCTTGCCATGAGGCATGGTGCTGCTCTGTCTCTTGCTGTTGCCGTCTTGGGCTCTTCATCCCATGCACGCATGTCCTGTCCAGAACCATGTGCCACGGGAGGTTGCATGTGGTGCAATGCATCGCAGTATGCTTGCGAAGCTGTCTGCATCCTGTGCAACGCCAAGGGGCGTTTGATTGAGTCGCCATCTCGCTGTTGATCTTCTTGATGAATGACCGATCCGACGAATGGTGAGTTTGAAGCGTGTGCTTGATGTTCTTCAACCGCGCAAAGTCCAAACAAATGAAACCTCTGCGATGAAGGAACCACAGGAAGCGAGCCTTTGCCCTTTTCCTTCTCTGTGCTCTTCTGACTGTAGAGATCGCCGTGCTGATACACCGGGAGGAGACAGTAGCCCTCAACCAAAGCGTTCACGGAGTCCCCGACGAGCTCAGATGCACACTGCAAGCAATTCACGTTCTTGATGTCCAGGATCGATGTAATCAGAAGGAAGCTCAAAATTGCCCAGGGCATACACAGCAGCGTGGACAAAGTGCAAAAGAAAGTGCTAGGCTAAAGGCCAGGGATAGCGCTGCAAAATCAGCTGCTATGGCCCGCGGGAGTCGCACGAAGTTCCCGCTAAGATAATGGACACGATGGGTATGGGGGCCCTCGTGAGCCAGAACCTTTTCCTCCACATATAAATTATATATATATGTGTGTGTTTTTTTTGTTTCCCACGGTCCATTGTTGCTAGAAGCTGCGACCGGTGCAAAATAAAATGAATTCTAGGTGATATATATATATATATAAATATATATATATATATGGTGCAGTTGAGGTTACTTTTCTGGGTATACTATTGGTGATTTTGGTGAGTTTATGGTGCCCCTATAACTATGTTGATAGTTGATATATCATATTTGGTCAACATGGCGTTTATGGTGTGTCGCCGTTCTTTGAAAAGTTGCCATGGAATGGTTGATAAATTGTTTCATGATGTATGATGATACTGGATGATGATAATGGATGATGATTTTTGACTGGTAATGGCCAATGGATGATGACTGCGGATACCATGATGATTGTGGATTGTGGTGGATTCTTGGTGTCGAAACCATGTTTGCAAAGCCACGGTGATTCTGTTGGTCAATCCTCAGAACATCTCCGTGACGAACCAGTTGAAAACAGCAAATAGCAATCCTGAAACAGAACTCTATATATATAATTATATATATATATGATTATACGTACAATATATTATATATATATAATTATAATACATATTAAGGAATTTGTGGTGTTGCACAGTTGCAATGGAAACTGCTTTTGAAAGTTGGATTGAAACCAGATTCGGATCCATCTGGAAACATGAGTTTTGAATTTGAACATGACATCACCAATTCGGCAGGCTTTATTTCCTCTCGGGTTGCTTGTTTTTGTTTAATGCATCTGAAATCCCATTTTTGCTTAGATTCCAATTTCCCATAGTGAAATTGTAATTCTCCAGCTTGAAGTAACCTATAAATTGCACCTTTGGATCTCCACATGTTTCGGCCCAAAAGCCTCGCAGTTTCTCCGTCCCAGGTATATCGGTGAGTCCAAGGTGGGGATGGAGACGGATGCCTTCGCCATTGCGGATTGCATGGGGTCGCTGGCCATGGATGGGGCTTTGGGACTATGGATTCGAAGTGTTCAGATTTGTGTAGTAGTTATCATAAGAGCCCCAAAGCAGTGTTTTGAAAATAGACATTCATTATACTTAGACTCATGTGGATGTAGATTTCAATGGTCTCCAGCAAGATGGAAAAGGAAGGGCTCACAAAAATCCTTGGGGTCACTATCCAGGTACATCAAACCTGACATCCAGACCATTGCCATTGGACAGGCTGGTGCTGAAACACAAGACGTGGGGACGTCTTTGAAGGAAGTCTATGGATGAACTTCTACTATAGCACCATCCCTAAACTTAGTGACTTGCCAGTGAGGACATGAGGTGCTGCACTTATTGGGGTAGACCTCAAAGGGGCTGTCTTAATGAGGAAATGATGATAAACCACTGGACTTTAGGACTTTTCCTCTGTAGTTTTAAGATGTTTTAAGGTACCAAACTCAGTTCCAAGACCGTGTCCCTACAGGCGTATGGTACTGCAGCTGTGCTGCTGGGATTGGGCAAAAAGGGTAAACGCTTCTTGGCCGCGTTGTGATTCGGGACGCGGCCCTATGGTCATCACAGAGAGTGAGCCTTTTTGTGTTGTTTTCTTGTGATGCCAGTGGCATCTTGGCGCACTCAAGCCATTCTTTTGCTCTACTGAAGTCAACTTGGCTTAAGGTTTTGATTGGTTTCGTGTCATTTCTTGCTCAGGTTTCGCGTTGCCCAATGCGACGGTGATGCTGGGTGCTCAGGGATGCTGAATGGTACCATCTCTGTTCGATGGATATTTGATTTGCTCGAGTTCTTCTTTGTCCATTATATCATCATAGTCAATGTTTGTTATCGGATATGATCCTGGTACGTATTCTGAGTTTGCTCACCTGTTGACAAAGCCTATAGTGGTGCGGATGTGTGACCCCGATCACAATGCGAAGTTGACCGGATGAGAAGTTGGAGCCTCCATGTGGGATTTCTGGGATGTGTTTAAGACAACCGCTACTTATTTAACATAGCTATGGAAAATTGCCCATTTACAGATGTTTTCTTTTTTTCCCAGCTATAAACGTCGATTGATAATGGATTTTCCATAGATATGTTAAATACGCAGATGGTATGTCTATTCAATTCATATCCCCATCATATCTATAGAATTATGAATTGCTGATGAACATCCTCATTCTATATCTATAATATCGATAGAATTGCTGACAACCCCATTCTATGCTTACTGGTGCTAAACGTAGGGAATGAGGGAATGATCCATAATCACTAGTAATCATCCCAGCAACCCCCAGCAACCCATCCATTCCCTACGTTTAGCACCAGTAAGTCTATGTGTTTGGTTGGTGGTTTGGAACATTTTTTATTTTCCATTTCATATATGGGATGTCATCCTTCCCATTGACGAACTCATATGTTTCAGAGGGGTAGGACCAACCATCAACCAGATACCCATAGGTTTTCATCATTATTAACCATTGTTAATCCACTATAATCCAGGTATTTTGATTCAGGATTAATATCAGGATTACTATTTGCTATAGGTGGTTAATAACCTATTAATAACCACATCATTCATTGGTTAATCACTATTAATCAAATTCCACATCATTATTAACCATAGTGGATTGCCAACCACCAACTGGATAATCCAGGTATTTAATCAATATCAATATTAATATGGCGATATGAATCAAAATAACCATAGGTTTTCATCAATCTTAATGATGGGGATATAATCCAGATATTATTATTATTATTATTATTATTAAAACATAGGTTTTCATCATTATTAACCATTATTAGCCATTGTTAACCATTGTTAATCCACTATAATCCAGGTATTTTGATTCATATCCCCATCATTCGCCATGCTGCTCCGCCCATGGCTTCGTTCCTTCCACGAGGCTCTCGGAGCCGCGGGAACCGCCAGCACGAGGCCCACGACAGGCCTCGGACATTCGGATCCTGGCGCGCGAGGCTGGGAAGCTACAAGCGTTCTTTGGGGGGGTCATGGGGGGGAGAATCTGATTTTTTTATAGAGACATAACATATCATGAAACATAACAATATATGACACTATATATATATATATGACACTATATATATATATTTTGTTATAGATATATATATATATAATGTTATATATGTACTAATAATATGTTCACGTGTCATTTGGATATTGATGAGAACAAAGACATGGTTGTTATAATGAATACTTACAAATATTTCAGGATCTTGATGATCATGCTTGGATATTGATGATAATCGATAAATCATGAATCCATCCCATATATTAGAATAATTTCATATACTATAGTATACTACTAAATCCATTTCATTTAGATATTATATAAATGATATATTTCATGGGATGCAACTATTACGGTTTCATTTACTTCTCAACCATGGGATGTTGAATTCATTTGAATCCTATCCCCTGGAAAATGAATAGATCCAATACTAAACCATGGATGGTTTCAAGTTTCATTCTTCAGTTTCCCTGTAGTTTCCATCCTTTGATGCTAATCCCATCCACTCCTTTTCGGTCGCCAGGTGCTGCAGAACCGCTCCACCATGAGCGAGTTGTTGTCCAAGGCGACTGGCAAAAGCAAGGAACAGGTGGTGGAGGAGCCATCTACCGGTGCCCAGCAGGGAACTGCGCTGGAGACATTTTAAGTGATATTGAAAAATGACCGGAAATATATGGCATATATGGAAACATCATGAAACATCTAAAAATGATGAATTTATATAGATGTGGTAACTGATCTTTTTTTTGCGCCAAATTGAAGATCACCCAAGGGCCATTTTGACACCGCCTGTGGAGGACACCAATCGATGCTACTACATGACGCCTGATGAAGCTGTAGAGTCCGGGGCACAGACGTGGGAGTTTTCATGTCAGAGTCGTAGAATATCTTTAAAAAATGATACTGGTGTATATACGTACACAATCATACACACTACATCACACTACTATAGTTATGTACTGTATGTATTATTTATGTATACACTATATATACAAATATATATCTAATCTATATTATCCAATCCAAATCTGCTACAATCTAGCGCAATCTAAATCTTAATCTTACATAATCTATGTAATCGAATCAAGTCTAGTAATCTATCAATCGAATCGATCTATCAAATCTAATCTAGTTCAATGGAAATCTAGTGTAATCCAATCTAATCCAACGTATATAAATCTAACCCAAATCTTAATATAAATATAAATCTAGTCTAATCGAATGAGTAATCTAGCCAAACCTATTTGTTTGTCTATGCAAACGGTTTTCACTGGTTCCGATCAACCTACAGATTTGTGGACCATTGGCCTGAACAGCTGAGGTATGGCCTCATCGATAAGGTCCTGACCCCGGAGAAGATGAAAGCGGCCGGGGACAAGGCCAGCTCTTGCTGGTGAAAGACGTCGGTTTACCCGTTGGGGGAAATAAACATGTGGAAATTCGTTGTAATATATATATATATATAGTGTGTGTATATATAATGTAATGTATATATGTAATAATATAATATGTAATATATAATATGTAATATATAATATGTAATATTATATATATAATCATCCCAACTGTGAATTGATTATTCATTAACCTGTTCGTCATTATCCATTTGTGGTGTAGATTTAGTCCCAATCACCCAATTTTGATAGGTAAGTATATTCCACACTTGGGGGAATGGGCACTGTTGATGGTTGAGCAACTAGTCATATCACCTGCCTAAAAGTGTGCTCAGTTTCATATAGTGACAAAAGAACAATTCAAAATTGGACGGATTACTGACCACACAAACACATGTGTATTATATATATATGTATGTAGCACCCCCCAAGAAATAGAATAGTTGGAAACCTGGACACTATGCGGAAGACATTATCTATATGATCCTGGAAATGTGTTTTCTATTTTTGGGGGTTTACAAACCCATGAAATTGGATTCAGTCATTGTTCCAGATCTAATCATTCGCTCACAAACTTGGACGGTGTCAGACCCAAGAATTCATTTACACAACAAGGTACGAGAGTTCGGATTCCAACAATAACATTGAATGGCACATGATGGCACAATAATCATCCATTTATATTTTATATATAGTATAATATAAATATATATCATACATATATATACATATATAATATCATACATATATATATAATATCATACACATATATATATATATAATATTATATATAATATAATATATATATATATTATATATATAATATAATACATATATACAGACACGAATTATATACATTCCCCAAATAGCTTTGCCTTGTCTCAGAAAGCGTCCCCAACATATCTCTCTCGCCTCGATCCAGGAGGTGCCCTCCTTTGTCTCTGCCATGGCTTCCTGAGCAGATTGTAAGAACGGACACCAGCGGACACTTAGGTGATCTTAGTGATCTTAGGTGGTCAGAAATGTGCTTCATAGATGTTCAGAAAGTATGGTTTAACATGGTTTAACATGGTTTAACAGGATTGAATCATCGCCTACTTGGGGCTACCCGGACTATTCACCAGCTTGTCCACCCAACAATGGAAAAGGGGACAAGTGCGGGTCAAGCCCCGCAGTGCCTTGTCAGACCATTTAATCTGGGCAAAATATGCAGCAACCTCACAATGACCTCAACATGAACTTTTAGGTTTGTGAATTGTACTGGTTTGCCTAGGTGTTTTTGGATGATGTACAGTATCCAATTTGGACCCGCACCCACATGAATCTGTTGTAGCTATTTGTCAGTAGTCTACTGTGCAGGCAACTCACTAGCTAAGGACAGCAGGAGTTGTGAAGCTTTGCGAAAAGTCTGTGTGTGTTTGGGAGATTTGCTTCATCAAAAGTTCAGGACCTCCAGAATCGACTCGAATTAACACAGATCAGCTTTTTAGGTCTACAGGTGGTCCAAGTTGGGTGTTTCATACCATTTAATACACAATGTACCCGGATGATGAACTCTGACCGGATCGCGAACTAACCCCACGGAAATCACAACTAAATAGTGCACACATGTCATTTACCATGTAATGTATGTACAGACTTAGTACATTTCATTCAATGTATGTCACTCTTAACATCTCGTAACCATATTTTGGATCACGATCTGACCTGGACTTCCACCTTTGGAGATGGATTGAATCCACCACTTTCCATGACGATCCATGCCTATGTTCGCTGCCATCGAGCCAAACAATGTGTCTGACACTTCTAAAACAGATCCATGATGATCATCATGGTTAGTTTCACAGTCCTCATTCCACGTCCAAACCATTCGTAAATGTGCAGACCATCAATAGTTTATGGTGGCGAACACTAAGCACTTATCATTATCAGGGCATCCACCATGTTCCTTGGACCCTTGGGACCCTTGGACTCAAGAACACATCACCGTGCTTGGGGCTGTGCAGCCCAATTCAAGACGATGGAGTTAATGGAAGAAGGCCGACCTTGGCGGGTTGAAGGGTACCCGCAATGGGAATCGAGAATGGGGTTGTGACCAACCAAGGTTGTGGCCAATATTTCTAGGATTTTATCATATCTTAAACACCGAGGTTGGTGTTTTCACTATGACTATATGACTTGGGCCAAAAATTTTATGTTGTGCCTGCTTTGTTTAAACATGTTCCCTGCAAACCCTAGGTTTGCCCGCGGCGAATCCCGCATATCCTTTGACATACTCAAATCCCTGCGTAGGGTTTACGTTTTTTCTGTTCAAAACAAAAACCCTAAAACCCTAAAACCCAAAACCCTAAATCCTGAAAACTTAAAGTCAAAATCACTATGTATAGCCAGTGTTTTCATTCATCCTCTGGTGATAAGTATATTGTTTGGATGTGTTGTTTTTGAGTGTGTGCGAACCCGGGCTTTGGAGGGAACATGTTTAAACCAGTTTCCAACACTATGCGACACTGGGGAGACCTGGTGAATCCTAAGTTGCTTTCCTGAAATGAACTTGGAAATGCCTAGATGACAGAGATGTCGCGTGGCGTGTTTTATGGGGTTCAGAGATCCTCAACAGTCGTCAGACGCCTCCAGGGTCCAATTTCGGATCGGTCCATTGATTTTGGAGTATAATCGACGAGTGATGCCCCTAAAGGGGCACCCAGATCCTAGCTGATAGTGGGCCCTGAATGCCACAGATTGATGGAATATTTTTTGGTTGGAGGGCCTAATTTTATACTGGAGTCCGCAGTTTCATGTTGGACTGTGGTCAAGCTACATCCGCTACAACCCCAATTTCTAAGAAAATTCAATTTGTGCATCCAAGTGTGCAGTTGTTTTGCCATCCCAAACTGGACAATATCTTTTAATATCTATCTATAGTTCCCTCATTTTTTCCAATAATTTCCTCGGTTTTCCCAGAGATGTTCCACCAGGTCGAACGCCTCTGGCGCCAGTGGCAACTCAGCGCGAACCCCCCGGGGTTCTTATGTGTATATAGAGGATTATATATGTATGTATTGCAGGACTAATTCAATAGTGTTTGTCACAATTTGTCACATATTTGATTTAGATTAAAGTTATTGACTTTGGTCATACTGTAAGTCTACGATTGTTTTACTCATTATCCACCAAGATTGCCAAATGTGATGTTTAATTTGGACTTCATTGGGATTTCAAGTAACAACCACGGAGATAGAATGGATAAACGTGCTTAGCAAGCAATGGGATTCTAGTCGACAATATCCATATATATATATAAAACAGAAATTGGGTATTTCTTGAAATTGGGTATTTCTTGAAATTGGGGTCGCCTATTTCACCATTGGGTTTCCCATTAAACATGCCAAAAAACTTGGATGATTTTGGGGTTTCCCATTGTGGGAAACCCCGTGTCGGTTTAAGGGGGAGGTTACAACAGACCTACTGTATGTATTTGCCGGTAAAGACGATGGTTTCCGTATATCAAAACATTGAGAATAGCAACATTGCCTTACAAAACTATGCAACTGTTCCAAACCAAACCATGCATGTGAGGATAGTTTTTTTTTGGGAAGGGTAGAGAAAAGTACAATACTTGTGTTTTGGAAAGAAAAGATCATGGTAGTGATGATAAACTTATCATGTTAAATACATTTCAATACCATTTGATACCATTTAGATTCAAAACCAAAATGTTCTTGTCTATAGGTTTGCATCGTGCCTAGGGATCTCGATATTTGTCCTTAAGCATTTGATTGTTGTCATCAGCATCTCATTCCTTCATTTGTTCCTTAATATTGGTGATATCATAGGGATATATGTCATTATTTGTCACAATATACCTGGATCTTCGATTACCACTTTTTTCTGCTCATAGCAGTTTTTCTTGGATTTACGCTCATTCTGACTTTTTATGTTCACTGAAGCACGTGTCTTGACGGACGGGTATTTACGCTTTTTTCCTGGATATTTACGTTTATTTCCCGGGAAAATATGGCTCCAAAATCCATGAAGTGCAAAAATGCCAAAAGTGGTGCAATTATGCTCATTTGGAAGAAAACCGCTCAAAAAGCAGAAATCTCTCAAACGAGCATTTATTTGTGCTTTTTCGAGGATACAGGTGTGTGTGTGTATATATATATATTATATATATTTGCAACATATATTTGAGCATATGATTATGTGTACTTAGATTTATGTATACACAAAGTGTATTGGTTCTAGGTTCAAAGTTCAACTTCACCAGCGAACCAAGGCGCAACAGGAGTCCAAAAGGATCACCCTCTTTCGGATTCTGTTGTCGTCTCTTGGCCAACTTTGAACTGTCGCAATGCGGCACTCGAATCTGCTGAGTCACCGTGGTTTCTGGGACCGGGGCCGCCGGGGCCGAGGCTTTCAATCGTGATGGACGCCATTCTGGTTAGCAGCTTAAGATCCAGATCCAGTTGGTGATCCAATCATTGTGGTTCAAAGCAGAGCAAAACAGTGCAAAGCACCTGGTTCTCAGCTACTATATACACTAAATTATATTAGTCAGACATGTAATTAGTGTATGTATCTGATATATGACATATCGTAGTTCTATCATAGTATAGTATATACATTATATATATATACACATACATATTATGTAAGTTTAAGTATGCAAATACATTGCAATCCCCAAAAGGATCTTTCAGTGTTTCTTCCAGCTTGTCAGACTTGTTTCTATTAGTGAAAGTTGGTATTGAATACATCAAAAATTGTACCAAACAATCCCCAGCGGAAGTTTCTGGCTGATCAGGTCCCACTTCTCATGTGGTCACCCTTTTCCTTCCAAGTGGATCAATGGTGGAGCCAACAGGCCCCGGAAAAAAAAACGGGTCAGGATGGCGAAAAGCGCTACAGCTTTTCGTTGGGTTTTTATTCAGCATGACTGGGCCAAAATATGCCTAAAAATCAATGGATATTATGGAGATGGTTTCATTTTATAGGGATATTTCATGGGATACAACATGATACAGCTATCCAACAATATCTGAGATGGATGTGCCTGAAAATGGGGGTATACGCTATACCCACGAAAATTGTCATTTGAATAGGATAATGATCATAAACCATGAGATGCTGGGGTACATTTTCATCAAACCCATTTATATAATGGAGATAGGTTCATGAGAAAATCTAATATCTAGCAATGGATTATTTTTGGGCGACTTAATGGAATTTAACCTGGAAATATGGAGAAGACATGCGATGAGATGATATAACCATCGGAAAAAAATAGCCCGCACCAATCATAGAAGATGAGGATATACTGATTGGATGAAATGGACAGATAATCATGAGGATTATGAATGTGTCTGAATGACTATGAATGATTATGACTGATTATGAATGATTCTGAATGATTATGCATGATTCAGAATTACTATGAATGTTTCTGAATGACTATGAATGAGTGCGAATGATTATGAATGATTGTGAATGATTGTGAATGATTATGAATGAGTATGAATCATCATGAATGATTGTGAATGATTCTCTGAAGTGGGTTTGTCCAAACATGGAATGTTTCGGCAATTTTTATGGGAACTTCATGATAAGCAACGGGATGGATGAATGCTCACCGCTGGGCTGTTGATCGTTTGAGGGTCCCATCATGCTACGGTAGGAGATGATATGATATTAGGGGGGAACCCCGAATGCTCAAGCAACCAGGCTTTTTTGATGCAGGGTTGACATGATACTGTAGGATTGTTGTTGAGAACAGAGTAAGTCCAGATTTTTTTTTTGGAATCTCATGGTTTACCATCATTTTGTCATGAACAGTGTCGTAAATTTGCTGAACATTCCCCTGTTTAAGCCAATACCAGATATCATATATTGAGTTTGTGTTTATTCAATATGCCCATGAATGTGCCATCAAATCCCATTAAGCCTCCATGATACGCCCCATGTTTCATTTCAACATCAGGATGAACATGGTTGCTAAAAACATCTTTAAGTTGACATTGGGATTTACATAGGGGATTCCATACCCTCTGGTAAACAGCCACATAACTATGGAAAGATCCACCATTTTTCATGGGAAAATCCACTATTTCTATGGCCATGTTCAATAGCTATTTTGACATAACCAGAGGGTAACACAAAACCTAGGGATAAGAATGATATAACCATAGGAAAATGGTTAACCCTCCGTTATTAACCAATATTAAACATCAAACCCCACCAAAAACCTCCACCATTTCCCCACCTTAAAAACCTGATCGGAGGTGGCGGCCTGGAGCCTGGATGCATCGGTGGCGGATTGGCTGATGATCGCCTGGCTCCGGGACGTACCTTGCCGTAGTTAACATGGTCCATTTATAGATCAAAATTTAATGGAAATTCCAGGATCCTAAATTGGAGGTACTGTACCATATTTTTGGCCATATTTTGTGGGGATATTCCCTTACATAGGCCTGAAAAATAGGCCTTATATATGGTTGGTACCTCCAATTTAGGATCCTGAAATGGCCATTGAAAAATGGACGATTTACCCATGAAACATGGATAACATGGTGAGACCTTCCATATGATGTTTTTCCCCACCTGCCAGGTGAGGGTTGTTAGATTTTATGTCAGTTGCCTCCTCCTCCTCCTCCGCCTCCTCCTGCCTCGTCCTCCTCGCCTCCTCCTCCTCGTCCTCCTCGTCGTCCTCGTCGTCCTTGCTCAACTGCGACCCGCGATCCACAGTGTTCTCTGCCGGACCTCAACCACGACCATCCACGCCCAGTGTTCCCTGCCGGACCTCCATCCACGACCATCCACGCCCAGTGTTCCCTGCCGGACCTCAACCACGACCATCCACGCCCAGTGTTCCCTGCCGGACCTCAACCACGACCATCCGCGCCCAGTGTTCCCTGCCGGACCTCAACCGCGACCATCCGCGCCCAGTGTTCCCTGCCGGACCTCAACCACGACCATCCACGCCCAGTGTTCCCTGCCGGACCTCAACCGCGAGTATCCACGCCAAGTGTTCCCTGCCGGACCTCATGTAGGAAGATATGGGACAAAGAATGTGCAGAAGAAAGTTAGAAAGAATGTCAGAAAGAATGTCAGAAGATATGCCAGAAGATATGCCAGATAGAATGCCAAATAGAATGCCAGATAGAATGCCAGATAGAATGCCAGAAGATATGTCAGAATATATGCCAGAAGATATGCCAGATAGAATGCCAGATAATATGCCAGAAGATATGCCAGATAGAATGCCAGATAGAATGCCAGAAGATTTGCCAGATAGAATGCCAGAAAATATGCCAGAAGATATGCCAGATAGATATGCCAGAAGATATGCCAGAAGATATGCCAGAAGATATGTCAGAATATATGCCAGAAGATATGTCAGATAGAATGCCAGAAGATATGTCAGAATATATGCCAGAAGATATGCCAGAGATGCCAGATTGAATGCCAGAAGATATGTCAGATAGAGTGCCAGAAGATATGCCAGATAGAATGCCAGAAGATTTGCCAGATAGAATGCCAGAAGATATGCCAGAAGATATGCCAGATCATATGCCAGAAGATATGCCAGATAGAATGTCAAATAGAATGTCAGAAGATATGTCAGATAGAATGCCAGAAGATTTGCCAGTAAGAAAATGTATAAATGTCATGGTGGGGATCACACGAAGTAAAGTAATTTTTTTTGCGGGGATGTACATAAAATTGAGGGTACCACATGTATACCACCAATTTTTGGATGGGAAACATGATGAGAAAAGCCGTTGAAATGGATGATTTTGGGGGTCCCCCCCAAATCTTTGGAAACCTTGAAATCCATAATCAATGGTGGATATTCTATGTTGTTTTTTCCCAAATCAATCTATATAGTCCCCTGTTTGCAGGTTATGTAATTTTAATTACCCTCCGGTAAACATACATACAGAACTATGGAACATCCTCCATGAAGATTCATGAAGGTATGTCCAAATGGGACACCCATGTCAATATTATAATATGTTTTTTTGATGTATGTTTGTATGTTTACTGGAGGCTACCCTTGGAAAATGAACCAAAGAGCCGGATTCGATTCAGTTATCTTTGCTTTTTTGGATGGCGACAAAAAGCCGGGAATGTTCCCATGCAGGGTTTTGACCCTCAGAATATATCCACTATATATGTATTAATCGTTCCAACCGCCTATGGAAAACGGGCCATATTCATATATTCATATACTCTGGAGATTTTACCTAGCACAATCAGAAACCGGCTAACAGAAAGACGATTTGTCGGGGATTTTCCCATTGTGGTTGGTACTATTCACATGTTTAAAGCCATTTACAACAATGTTCATTGATCATTTTGCAGCCAAGAATACCCATATCATGTTGATCATGGCATGGGTCAAAACTCATTGCATCATCCTCTAGAAGGATCCACAATGTTGCCACGGAGACACCAAGTACTTCGGGCCCATCATTTGTTCTGATAACATGGGGAACCCCACTTGTTGACACCCAAAATTCGGTGGTCCATGGTGGTTCGATATGGAGGAGTGACTTATTTGCACACATTCGCACTCCTGAACAAGTACATCATGTTTGAATCATACAGGTTTGGCTAACTTGAATGGTGACATGTTTCAATCAACTCCACTTATTCATTTCTACTATAGCTCCTATATGTTCCTATCATGGATATGTTAGGAATGCTCCTTTGGATGATGGAGAAAGCCACATTTGGGACGGTGGTCTCCAATGACTGATATGTGAACCTTACCAAGAGCTTTTCACATCATGCAAATGGATGCACATACTGGGATGAGTCACATTTCAACCGCTAATCCGATCGTTCACCTTAAATGTTTTCATCCTTAAATGCAGCAAGGGTTTGTCTGAAAATGGGTATGGGTCAATACCTATTAATACCATTTTTAGGGGGATGAACATCCATTTACCAGCTATTTTGATGTTCACCAGGGGTACAAGGTTTTGACACACTGCCAAATAGGGCACCCCATGGCACCACTTGTTGATCATCATTTCCCCTGTCACACCCGGAAAGATTGACGTGATTCACTTCGCACCGCAAGCCATTGCAGGTGCTTGTGGCAGTGTTTTTCTCACTGGCATGGAGGAAACAGGCAGGATTCGCTGACATTGATTGGACTGAGCTGGGAAAGTATTGAATTTTTATAGTAAATAAATGTAAATATCACTCAGACGGAACAGAGACTAATGATTGAATCCTCGCTTTGGGGTTGAAGGTGAACCCAGTTGAAGTGGAGCGAGTTTCGATGCCAGAAACGCGCAGGTAGGCTGTCATCCGTGGTGAAAACTCAGTTCTTTGAAGCCGTGTCCAAGATGGTTTCACTGCTATTTGTCCTGAAAAATGTATTGACTAGCTGACCCTGCAGCCATATTTCAAATGCACCATGGCCTCCATTCCTAGAACAGGCCGGGCCCGTGCCCTTGGCGCTTTCCTTCGATGCCGCGGCATTGCCCTGTCTCGTTTCTGTCGTGGTTCGGAGACGCATGGAGGGGATGACATCCACAAAGTGGAGCGCTTGGTCTGCGACTTCAGCGTCACCACAAATGCCTTGGGCCCGGTGCCCTCAGCTTTGGCGGCGGTGCAGGATCTGCTGCAGAGCACGCAGAGCACGCAGCAGAGCTGGATGGCTCAAGAGGTGATGAGTTCGCCGGCGGTGGAGCATTATCCACAACGGAAGGATCAGGACTTGGAGGGGTTGGTGGCAAACTTCCTCAGGGCGCAAGGAGAAGAGGCAAAAAAGCAGTTGATCTTTGGAAATGGAGCAAGTGAACTCATTGATTTGCTGGCTCGTGCTGCTCCACAGGGTAAATTTTGCCTCAATCCATCCACTGAAGTGCAGTACAGGGAGTACCAGCGTGCATGCGGCAATGCGGGGAGGGAAGAAACAAGCAATCCGCAAGAGGCATCAATCATTTGTTTGGTGAATCCGAACAATCCAACTGGTGATTTCTTGGAGCGCGAGGAAATGCAAGCGTGGATCTCGGCCAATGCAGCACCTGGTAGCTGGGTCTTGGTGGATGAGTCCATGCTCTTCTGGGCTGGACCAGACTTTCAGGAGCGCGGAGTGAGCGCTGAATTTGTAGCTGGTTGATGCTTTTAGCCTTGTTGATTTTTCCAGATGTTTCCATTGTTTTCCCATATGTTGTTCATTATTTTTCCATATGTTCCCCATGATTTGGGATGATGATGATATTCTTTCATAGTTCACGGGTTCAAGCCACCAAGCAGGTAGATTCTATGGTGAAGAAGCACATCAACATTTTCCTGGTGCAATCGTGGACAAAGATTTTTGCGTGCACTGGGCTTAGAATAGGAACTGTCTTGTGCCCTACTCAAGAGAAGAGAGATTATTTGCTCTCTTTGCAAGTGCCATGGTCCGTGACGGCTTTTGCCAGAGCCTACCTCAGGGCAGCCATTCAAGACCGCAGTTACTTAGAAAGAACCTGGGAAGAAACCCCTGCTTGGCGCTCGCACATGGTGACGCGCTTAAAGAGATTACATCCCTCCTGGCAATTCCATGGAAAGCCTTGGCTTTCGTGGATTTGGATTGACACTGGGAGTGCTGAAGTTGCGAAGGACGTCTACCACGCAGCCCTTGACTGCGGTTGCCCCATTCGCCACGCTGCATCCGGCTACGACAAAGCCAGCATTGTGAGACTAGCTGTTCGCAGGCCCTATGACTTCTCAGTTTCCGATTGGTGGTTTAAAACACATTTTCGTTGGGTGGTTTATATGGTTTAAGATGGTTAAAATAGACGGTTTATGATGGTTTAAGATGGTTTGGTAGTACTGTATATAATATTATATAACCCCAAAAAAGAGAACTGTAAAATTGCAATTGTTTTTGTAAGTGTTTACCCTTCTATCTTTCGCGGGGTTGCTACAGTCAAGGATACGTTCATCCCCAATAAGGCATCGTCATGAAGTAATGAGGAACATGATGGCCAAACATGGATTGGTGGTATTGAAAAAACAGGGTCCTACCAGGGATGATGATCGATAATGACCGAATAATCCCATACCCCTAATATTAAACTTTAAATGATTTAAATGGTCCCAAATAAGTGGTTTCATCATGTTTCATCCCTACGTCCACCACGGTTTCTAGATGTTTCTAGGGGGTGAAGAGGACTTTTCGGAAGACGTGAACCCACCAACCAGGTTTTATATCAAGCCCTCCTGCGACGTGAGAGCAACAGTGCTGCCTTCAGTCAAACCACCTTTGGAACCTCTGCAGATGTGAACCCTGAGGTACGGTTTTGGCTGGGCTCAAAACTGGAGTGTTTGACCCCCCAGAAAAAAGGGGTCCAAAGGGCCGTTTTTATTGGGGAAAGGATGGTACGGTAAACTGGTTTGAAAGTATCAATCGAATTGGCTGAGCGTGAAACCAAGGTTTTGGAAGCCAATGGCCACACAAATTCGACATGTTGGTTGTTTGTTGTAGTCATCCGCAAAAAGATTCCAAACATATAATTTGCCGCTGCTTGTTGTGAGATGCTACTGTAGAAGTATGAGGGTTGCTTTAAAACCACGTTATGGGTGTGTTTGGGGGTATACCCGTATACCCCATTTTCAGACACACCAAAATATATCAAAATATCATATCAAGTTGATTACGTACTAGTTATATATAACTATATACCCATTTAATGTATATATCCCATTGCAGTAAACCCCATTGAATCAGATTTAATCTTTATCATATCCATATTTCTTGCTTGGTCATCTCTGGCGCCCCAGGTCATTTCTGGTGTCCGTTTGGTCCACATCGATGACCTACACCCCCATGAAGAAGTGCTGACGGATCGGGCGGACAAATTGAAGAACTACGTCAGGGATCCCTGGATTTTGCAAGAAACATTGGGATTTAAGGGGATAAATCCTGGTGATGATGTTTTGATCTTATTTTCCCCATGGTTAATCCACCGTGACTGGGGAATCTACTGGGACGGGAGGTGTGTTTTCTTATCGGTCCTGGATCAGCACAAGGATTTGCCTGTCAAGATCTTGCCAGCTATCATCATCGATTCCCAATATGACTCTTAGCTTGATGCGCGATTGTCTGCTCCGTTATTTTTCAGTTTTTTTTTTGCTCAGTGTTGTTGGAATGAGACATGTGCCATATGAGCAGAGCACTTGAGATACTTTTTCTATTCGCGTGTTGTCTCAGAATTGGATGAAGGGACGATTTAGAGAGAATCCTCATGTTTCATACGGACGACGGTTTCTTACAACTGTTCCACAAACCCAACCGAATCTGGATAGACTGTGGCCTAATACACTTTTGCATAATTTTGTTTCTTGTGTCCATGTTGTTTAATCCCTTGGGCCTATCATAGATTGCTTGTGGCTACAGCAGCCCCACGTTCACTGGGCACCGGGCCAACCTTGGGTCATGAAGGACGTGGTGATCGATGGCCATCACCGCCTGGAGCTCTTCAAGGCTGCCGGCTTGACCATCGTTCCAGCCGTCTCGGTGCACTATGAGCACGCCGATATCTTGGTGAATCCTCCGGGCCTGCGGCCAGAGGTGGGCCTGGTGGGGGGTTGAAGGAAAAAAAAAGAGTTGAGGCAACAATGACATATATATATATTTCGACAATCGGTGCCGACTACGCTGGACAGAGCTGGAACCTTGCAAGCTGCCGCAGCGGGATTCGCTTCTGGTTGCAGTATGGCAAAAAAAAATATATATTTATATATATGAACATGGGTACTGGTCAAAACCAGGGTACCCCGGTGAGCCCCAAAACAGCCGGTAAATGGATATAAATGGATGTTCATCCCCAAAAATCACACATCGTAGGTTTTGATCCATTTTTCATATTAGTGCCCCACTGTGTCAACCTCAAAACATTCATAGCCCAAGGTGTGCAAGGAACACGTCATCGGCACTGCCGTGAAGGGTAAGACCATGGAACCGAAGACCACGCAGCACATGGTGCGATCGCGGGGAGGGGCGCTCCTTCCCATCATTGTCTTAGCACCGCAGATCGCAGAAGTGGTGAAGTAGTGGGCGGCCCCAAAAAATGGGATGATATGGTTGTGGGTCAAAACCCTGCCTAAAATAGCTGCCTACTTATAATATCTTATAATGGATGGTGATTCTCCCAAACGTGGTGATAGGAGGTTTTGACCCATCCCCATATCCAGAACCCTAAATCACCCAAAGCTGTGGTGAAAACCGAGGTTTTTGATTGTGACCCATTTGGGTATGGCTCAGAGTTAGGAAGAACCCCAAAGTTATGGATGATTCAATACCATTCAATACCGTTCTTGAAGTAAAATAAACCATTTTCAGGAGGTCCACTGCTACCCCATGTTTGAGCCATACCCCTTTGGTGGCTGATATACAGTACATTTTCGCCTGTGCGTACATGTAGGTTTCAAAACCCAAGAGTCTCCCAAAAGTGAGAAGGGAGACTGCTAGTGCGAGGTGTCCACAAATTTGAGACGTCCTCGTAAATGCACATCAAATGGTTTTTCGATTTACTTGAACTCATTTGAAGTTGGACAACTTTTGGACCAGAATTCGTCAATTTGACAGAGCTTTGGCATGAAAAGGAATGCTTGGAATGCAGGGTCATGCACTGTGGCTGAGTCATGTTTAAGCAAGGTTTGGCGCTTAAACATGTTGCGAATTGTTGCGGACATGTTTTAAATCATGAATCTTCGATGGTTAAGAAGAACAATGACAATATTGATGACCCATGATGACCTTGTCGTTTCAACAGTTGGATTGTGATTCCCATCATTTTCATTGTGAAGCGGAGCTCACAGGTGTCTGATCCATGGACAGAGGATGCACGCTGGTGCCGTCGAGTGGTTGTGGCCGGGAGACCGAACGAAAATTCAGATAGAAATTGTGGGTATCCATTTGAAGCCCAAACGAAAACCCAAACTGCGGGTACCGGTTTTAAGAGTGAAAACTATGCTAGTTTAAAACCAAACGAAAACCTGAATAAGGTTTGCTCTGCCCCCCCGGTCTATCCATTTTCTTGTTTCACACAAAGTGCGGTATAATGCAGTATGTATAACTCTAACCAAGACTTCATTGAACTTCATTGCCTCAGAGAGGAAAAAAGAAAAATAAGATGATTTATAAGATGTGTACGCATTTCGGATAGTGATGCAAGTTGCGGGTTCTGGGACTTGGGTTCACATCGGTATGCCTTTTTGTTGTTTTTGGTCACGTTTGTTCTTTTTCATCGCGAATCCGGGGATGTGATCCAGAAGACAAGACAAATATGTCTTGTTGCCCAACCACCAAAAATAGATGGTCCATCCTAAAGTGTCTCAATAAAGTGCCATGAAATGCTGGATATTTGACGAAAGCATGCACCAGCTGTTGCCAGGTCTTGGCTCTTAATGGATACAGAGACATCCGATACCTCGTTTTAGTCACCATGGCACATCATGTCCATTACGAAGTCATTGTTTGTCAAAGCACTACCGCTGAAATTTTGACCTTCACTCAGTTGATTCTTCAAAAAAATAAATGATGAAATCAAGACCTTCTATCATGTTCCACCGTAAAGTTTCTATCTTGTAGTAGCCCCTATTTAGTACACCTTCGTTGAATATCATCATTTATTACTCAAGTGGCCAATATGACGGATGCTTCAGCCACCAGCCCACTGTGCGACGATTGGCCCATGGACCACCATGATGCCATGCCGCTCCGGCGTGGAGGTGCTGTTGCCTGTTGTGGGGTCAAAGCTCATGGCATTTGAAGATTGATCCCATTTCGAAGAAATACCCTCTGGTAAACTAACATAGCTATGGAAAGATCCACCATTTTTAATGGGAAAATCCACTATTTCTATGGCCATGGCTTCAATAGCTATGTTAAATTACCAGAGGGTACACATCGCACAAGAAGTATATCGGACAAGACAAGCTGCCATCAGACATGCTGCACAGTGCAAGCGAATGTTTGGGATGGAGCTTCAATCACAAACCAGTTGATTAGTGATGATTATCGCCAGTTCCCAAGACTTCACAACTACTCGGTGAATTCTAGCCGCAAAGTTTTCGTATAGTAAGTTCTTTGGTGGGTCAAAATTACGGATGCTAAATATTCAGCAAAATCGTATGATGCTAAGAATCGCGACCCTGGCTGCTTGACTACCTATGGCATCCTATGGCCAGATCAAGTCGCTGGGGATAGAGGTCGTCCCATTACCTGGCACAAAGTCAAGGCGTACACCCAAGCCATGTGATGGTTTAGACCTCAAGACATTGCAAACCCGCACACCAATAGTTTCCTGAGCAGATTTTGGCCCGCAAAATGAAATAGGATGTCAAATCAGTTCCGTTGCAAGCCACATTTGAAATCCCATCTCTCTTAGTATCATCTATATATATCCACATTTGAAATAATGTCCATAGATTGCAGAGAGTCAAACATAAAATGTTCATCCCATGATATCGCCATGTTTGACGGTTGCAATATTAGATTTTGAATGATTTTGACATGTTCATGTTTTTTTCTTCATCAATAAACCACATTGATATGTGAACACTGTTTGGAGATCATTTTCACAGGGGAAACCATGGGAATTTCCAACAAAAAACGTCCACGGCTGGCCCCAGGAGTCCTCCTAGCAGCGTTTGGACTCCATGGTTCCATGCTCTTCACAGGATTTCCGTGCCCCGCTGGAGAAAGCATCCCCAGTCATGGTACCCTCTGGTAAACAGCCACATAGCTATGGAAAGTCCACCATTTTCAATGGGAAAATCCACTATAAATCACCATTTTCAATAGCTATGTTAAATTACCAGTCATGGTAGGTTTTTATTGTTGGGTGTACCACACTACCCCAGTCATCCACCGGTTGAATCGAACATTGCCAGAGCTGGGGCAACGTTCACCAGCAATCGGCCCAAAGTTGCATATCATGTTGGTACTAGTGGTTAACCAATACCGGAGGATACTGAACACCCCATATATGGTTTGGTAATGTTTGATAATTACTCGCCATGCCATCTCGGATTTTCAGAGCTGACTATTGTTTGATACTTTAAATATTTGCAAATTGTCTTCAAGACAACTTTGTTGCAGGGTTGAATGAACTTGCCCAGCATCGTGCAACTTAGGACATCGCCAAACTCACTGCGCAGCTTGGACAAACATTTGTCATCCGCCGCAAAGTGAGCAGCCTGAGCCCAACTTTCAGTCATAATTTTACCAAAAAAGCTGGATAGATGTGGTGAAGTAGATTGAATTTAGCATGGAGTGGATTAGCATCTAAAAAATAGCTCATCTAGCGATGCAGATGTGACTTTTCCTTAAGGCGCTTATCCGAGGGGAGCCAAGGGAGCCAAGGCCAAGGCGGGGTACAGTCGTGACATGTTTCCAAGTCCCTGGTAGTTGATGGATGGAAACATCCCGAATTGAAAAGTTGTTTCATTTCTTTGAAAGTTGTCTTCCAACCTCCATTTGGCGTCCGTATTAGTCGG